GTATTGCGGCACCTTTTGCTTTGTTTCTTTCATATGTTTCTAATTTTATTTTTAGCTCTTCGCTTAGATTTTTCATTCTTGGGTTTGAATGCGCTTTTTTTAATGCATTTTTGAGTTGTTTTTTCAGTGTGAACTCTTTTCGGCGAGAGTTTTTTGCCTCTGTTTTGCTGAATTTTTGAGAAAAGGCTTTTATTTTCTTTTTTAGCGCATCCCAGTTTTCGCATTTGTTTATAGAGGCATCTATATTTTTTATGTAATCTTGTATTAGATTGGTTATGTTTTGATTGTAGTTATTGTTTTTTAAATGTTTATTGTTAAATATCCAAACATCTTTTCCTATTTTCAGGCTATTGGTCTTTATTTTTGCAAGGACGCCATTGTGGTGGTCAGAATGGGTCATTGGCTCATGACTGATATTTATGAGTTGACGCATATGAGTGCTAAGGTATAATCTATCTATACGAGAGTAAGTGATGTTATTGGTGGCTTTGTATGTGTATTCCAAGCGAGTTGTATTTAGTTTACGCCATGTGTCTTCTACATTTAAGGTTTTTAATAAGGTTTTGAAAGAGTCCGTAGAGAGACATTTTTTTCTATTAATTTGGGGATATCTATCTATTTCGTTTTCGACCATGTTAAAATCGCCTCCTATAATGGTTATATAATTAGTATTTTTTAACGTTAATGGTTTTAATTTTTGGGTGATGTCTAAAAATAGGTTTTTTCTTTGTATTTCGCATGTGTAGCTAGATCCGGATTTAGCGTATACATTTATTATTAAGAACTTGTGGTTGTGATTTTCTAAAACTACGTAGTTGAAATAGCCGTCATTATCTTCAAAATGGTCTAATAATTTAAAATTGTTTATTTCTGGGTTGATTAAGATTATTGTACCTTTTGAATGCGATGCACCAGGTGTGAAAAAGCCTATATTGTTCCATTGTGTGAGGAAATCCAGCGCGTCCTGATTATTTAGGTGCGTTTCTTGTAATAGAAATATGTCACAATGCATGTTTTTTAGTTTGCTAATAATGATTTTTTGTTTTTCTATTGCCATTAGGCCGCCAACGTTTGTTGAGAATATTTTAATTGTTTCCATTTTTAAACTTTTAAAACTTTTATGATTTTGTGGTTTTGTGTGACGTAAGATGTGTTTTAGAGGTTTTGATCGAATATGTGCGGAATGAATTGTATTGAAAGCAAGAAATGTGATGTAAAAGATAGATGTTAAAGATATGCTTATAGGTATACTAATCGTGTAAAAATAATTCGTGTAAGATAAAATAAATAAGAAATTAAAGAGTTCATACCGCTCTTTATCTTTGTATTTTTTTGGTGTTTTCTTTTCGAGGGGTTGGTGGTGGAGCATTTCTTTTATTATGAATTTTTTCGTTTTTTGTTTCGATAAGTTCACCATCTTCGATGTCGCTCTCGTTTTCGTCCGATTCTTTACTTTTATGATCATTTCGCTTTTCTTCTCTTCGTTTGTTTTTATATTTTACAACTTCAAAATCCGGTTCAGATTGTAATATGACAGGAATTTTGCTTATTTCGATTTTGCTTTTCTTTTCTGATGGAATTTGTTTCTTTTCGATAAGGAGATCTTTTTTAGGATTTATTGGTACGTTGATTTTGATTACTTCAGGTTCGTTTTTTTGTATAGATATTTTATTTTCAGAATCTAAGTTATTTTTGTTTTCGTTTGTTTTTTGAGAGATGCATCTTTGTTGTGGTGGGTGTGAATTTCCGCATTTCATGCATAGGAACGATTTGCCAGCAAAATGGAGTGCAATTTTTATGCCTTCAATTTCGATACTATGGGGGATTTCTTCCAACTTTACCGATGGTTTAATTCTAAAGAGTCTCCGTCCATCTTTAATATTTTTATCGAAGCGGTATGTTGTGTGTTTTATCGAATATATTTCGCTTGTAAAGGGGTTTATTTGATTTATAATATCAGAGTCTTCGATTAGAGGATCACATTTCACTGTTATTAACAGCCCGATTTCGCTTCTAATCTTAGTGCTTATGTGTTGCTTACAGTTGGATATTTGAAAAGCTGTATCGTTTACAAGTAATGCATCTTCCGCTGAATTTAATTCGCATACCCAATTTCCTCTTGTGTTATATGTTAAACTTCGAATTTTATTCGGTCCAACTATTTGCGTTATTTTCAGATAGAGTTCTTCGGCTCTCTTGTCAATATATTTGCGATTGAATGTTTCAGAAGGATCCATGTAAACATTTAAGTCGATGACGCATTCGATTCGGTTACATTTTTTCGAAGCTATTCCAGCGTAACTTGCCATCTTCAGAACTTTAACAATAGTTCTCCCAAAATAGAAATAAACAAAAACTCGCCAATCAGATTACCTTATTACACAGAGTATTGTCATTTATTCTCCTCCGGCAAATGCCTTGCAGAGTTATCAATAATGTTACAAGTATGTTTTTTTCGTATATATATACAAAGATTTTTTATTTTTTTTTTTTTTTATAATTTTTATATACTGTTCCATTATTGAAGCATTTCAAAAACTATTTACAAAGAAAAAAGCAAAAATTTAAAAGAAGTTTTTAAAAAAAAATAAAAAAAATAAAAGAAGAAAAAAAAAAAAAAAATTTTTTAAAACATGAATCTGGGCATTTAGTTAAATGATCATTCTATCTCAATTTCAAAAGTGTTGTTTCTGTTGCTCCAGATTTCTTTAGTTTCGTCTATAAATGCTTCTAAGACGTTGTTTTCTCGTGCTATTTGGTGTTCTTCATTTAGAACTTTTTTAATTTTCCTTTTGAATTCCACCAAAAGTGCAGTCCTTGAAAACATGGATTTTTTATGGAACGATCGTAATCTGTTACAATATATTTTATACAATAATTCGTTTAAAATAATTTTACCAATAAAAAATATGTTCGTATTTATTGAAAAAGCAAAAAGGAAAGTTTTAAAGGTGTTTTTAAATTGTGGAAGATGAGGATAGATTTTTTGGATGAGGGCGAGTGTGTATTTTATTAGTGGTTGAACTTTCTTGCAGGAGTATATCATGTGTGGTAGGGTCTCTATTTTTTCCATGCATTGGGGGCATATGTTGTTATTTGTGATTCCTCTTTTTTTAAATATTTCGTTTGTTGGTATTTTGAAATGTATAAGTTTATACCTGATTTCATCGGCTTTGTTGTTTGTGTTGTTTTTTTTAATGGCATGAAATAGTTGTGACCATTGCTTCAAAGTTATGTCACTCATACTCTCCTTGAAGTAATTATTCCACTTAAGAAAGTTTTTCGGTATGTTTTTGTATTTGTCAGCATGTAGTAATTTGTATATATTTCGAGATGTGAGATTTATTATTTCAATGGGATTTTCGTTCTTTCGGTATAGAAAAAGTTTTGCTTTGTTGTGATCGTAGTTTTGGCATTCCGTTCGAATTTTGTGTTTCCAGTGAGATGGAATGGATTTGATTATTTTTGACATTTGAGGAGGTCTTAGTCCTATAAGTGTACAATGTAAGAAACCGGGTGTGAAGACTTTTGCTATATCTGCTAGGCAAAGTATGTTATTCCTCTTTGATTCAGGTGTTGGTTTTAAGGTCTTGTCTTCATGTCTGATGTAGTTGTTGTAGAATAGAGGTTGATTTAAGAGTTCTTCAATTGACATTTTTGTTATAATTTCGCTCTTTTGGTAGATGTCGCTCCATTTTCGCATCATTTGTCGATAGTATGGGGGAAGAGTGTTTAAGCAGTCATTGGAGTGGCTGGTAAAAAAGGTAAGAAGACCTTGAGAAGCCCCTCTATATTCATTTAAGATATTGATAGCAGCATCTTTCCATGCACCTTTCAAATTTTTGTTAAAGAGTTTAGATATCCAGCTAAGTTGAATTGAAAATAGCTTTTCTTGAATATCAATTTTGTTTAAACCGCCTTTTCCAGTTGGGAATTTTGATGTTTCATTTTTGGTTTTTATAGTGCTGTTATCCCATAGGTATTTTTCGGTTTTTTTTTCTAAAATTTTTATCTTTTTTCCGCTTGGAAGTGGTAATGTAAAAGCAAGGTGCCATAAGCTGCTTAGGAGGGTTTGATTTATAACGATGATTTTACCTTTCATAGATAGTTTGAAACGTTTCCAGCTTTTTATCTTCTTTTCTATTTTCTCTATACTTTCTCTCCATTGGTTGTTTGGGATGGAGTTGGTATTTGTAAAGGTAATTCCTAATATTTTGAGGGAGTTTTCTTTCCAGGAGAAATTTAGAAAATTTTGTTTATTTATACTTCTGTTTATCCCCAGCCATAGTCCCTGGCATTTTTGGATGTTTAATTTTGCTCCAGTGGCTTTTTTGTTTAGAATGAGGGCTTTTCCTAGCTCAATAATGGATTGATCTGTAGTAAGGTAGAAACTTGTGTCATCTGCGTATTGTTGTATTTTGGTTTCGGTGTTGTTTAGGATGATACCTTTAATGTTTGGAGTGTTTCTGATATAGTTTGCGAAAATTTCTGCTTGCAGGATGTAGAGAATCATAGATAGGGGACATCCTTGACGGACTCCTCTATGGATGTTTATTTTTTTTGATATAAAACCATTTATTTTAAGTTGAGAGCTGATGCCGTAGTACAGTGTTTTAATTAGGTTTATGAATGTCATGCTGAAACCGAATTTATTAAGACAGTCGTATAAGTAATTTCGGTCTACACGGTCAAATGCTTTCACTTGATCGATAGATACTATTGATGCGTCGAGGTTTGATTTGTTCGCAATGTGTATGACATCCCTAGTAAAAGACAGGTTTTCGAAGATTGTTCTATGGGGAACGCACGCCGTTTGGTTTTCGTGTATTATGGTGGGAAGGATAGGTTTAAGTCTGTTTGCTATAATTTTGGTTAGAATTTTGTAATCTGTATTCAATAATGAGATCGGTCTCCAATTTCCTATGTCAGATTTGTCTCCTTTTTTGAATACACATGTTATGGTGGCTTGTTTTTGCGATGCGGACATTTCGTTCTTGTCTTTTATTTCGTTTAGGACTTTTACTAGGGTCTCTCCTATTTGATCAAAATTTGCTTTGTACCATTCGGCTGTTAGACCGTCATTACCAGGGGATTTGTTGCTTTTCATTGAAAAAAGTGCATTTTTAACTTCCTGTATCGTTATTGTATCATTCAGGATAGCATTTTGTTCACATGTGATTTGTTTGATGTCCGTATTATCGAAGAGGAGGTTTTGATGGAGTACGCTGGTGTTAGGTTCTCTGTATAGTTTTTTATAGAATCGTCTAAAGCTGCTTAAAATTTCAGGTGTATCATATACTTCTGTTCCATTTTTGTTTTTCACACTGGCGACTATTTGTTTCGATTGTTTAGCTTTCTCTAGTTGGAAGAACATTTTGCTGCATTTTTCACCTTTATAACGCCATTCTATTTTTGCTCGTATTGCGGCACCTTTTGCTTTGTTTCTTTCATATGTTTCTAATTTTATTTTTAGCTCTTCGCTTAGATTTTTCATTCTTGGGTTTGAATGCGCTTTTTTTAATGCATTTTTGAGTTGTTTTTTCAGTGTGAACTCTTTTCGGCGAGAGTTTTTTGCCTCTGTTTTGCTGAATTTTTGAGAAAAGGCTTTTATTTTCTTTTTTAGCGCATCCCAGTTTTCGCATTTGTTTATAGAGGCATCTATATTTTTTATGTAATCTTGTATTAGATTGGTTATGTTTTGATTGTAGTTATTGTTTTTTAAATGTTTATTGTTAAATATCCAAACATCTTTTCCTATTTTCAGGCTATTGGTCTTTATTTTTGCAAGGACGCCATTGTGGTGGTCAGAATGGGTCATTGGCTCATGACTGATATTTATGAGTTGACGCATATGAGTGCTAAGGTATAATCTATCTATACGAGAGTAAGTGATGTTATTGGTGGCTTTGTATGTGTATTCCAAGCGAGTTGTATTTAGTTTACGCCATGTGTCTTCTACATTTAAGGTTTTTAATAAGGTTTTGAAAGAGTCCGTAGAGAGACATTTTTTTCTATTAATTTGGGGATATCTATCTATTTCGTTTTCGACCATGTTAAAATCGCCTCCTATAATGGTTATATAATTAGTATTTTTTAACGTTAATGGTTTTAATTTTTGGGTGATGTCTAAAAATAGGTTTTTTCTTTGTATTTCGCATGTGTAGCTAGATCCGGATTTAGCGTATACATTTATTATTAAGAACTTGTGGTTGTGATTTTCTAAAACTACGTAGTTGAAATAGCCGTCATTATCTTCAAAATGGTCTAATAATTTAAAATTGTTTATTTCTGGGTTGATTAAGATTATTGTACCTTTTGAATGCGATGCACCAGGTGTGAAAAAGCCTATATTGTTCCATTGTGTGAGGAAATCCAGCGCGTCCTGATTATTTAGGTGCGTTTCTTGTAATAGAAATATGTCACAATGCATGTTTTTTAGTTTGCTAATAATGATTTTTTGTTTTTCTATTGCCATTAGGCCGCCAACGTTTGTTGAGAATATTTTAATTGTTTCCATTTTTAAACTTTTAAAACTTTTATGATTTTGTGGTTTTGTGTGACGTAAGATGTGTTTTAGAGGTTTTGATCGAATATGTGCGGAATGAATTGTATTGAAAGCAAGAAATGTGATGTAAAAGATAGATGTTAAAGATATGCTTATAGGTATACTAATCGTGTAAAAATAATTCGTGTAAGATAAAATAAATAAGAAATTAAAGAGTTCATACCGCTCTTTATCTTTGTATTTTTTTGGTGTTTTCTTTTCGAGGGGTTGGTGGTGGAGCATTTCTTTTATTATGAATTTTTTCGTTTTTTGTTTCGATAAGTTCACCATCTTCGATGTCGCTCTCGTTTTCGTCCGATTCTTTACTTTTATGATCATTTCGCTTTTCTTCTCTTCGTTTGTTTTTATATTTTACAACTTCAAAATCCGGTTCAGATTGTAATATGACAGGAATTTTGCTTATTTCGATTTTGCTTTTCTTTTCTGATGGAATTTGTTTCTTTTCGATAAGGAGATCTTTTTTAGGATTTATTGGTACGTTGATTTTGATTACTTCAGGTTCGTTTTTTTGTATAGATATTTTATTTTCAGAATCTAAGTTATTTTTGTTTTCGTTTGTTTTTTGAGAGATGCATCTTTGTTGTGGTGGGTGTGAATTTCCGCATTTCATGCATAGGAACGATTTGCCAGCAAAATGGAGTGCAATTTTTATGCCTTCAATTTCGATACTATGGGGGATTTCTTCCAACTTTACCGATGGTTTAATTCTAAAGAGTCTCCGTCCATCTTTAATATTTTTATCGAAGCGGTATGTTGTGTGTTTTATCGAATATATTTCGCTTGTAAAGGGGTTTATTTGATTTATAATATCAGAGTCTTCGATTAGAGGATCACATTTCACTGTTATTAACAGCCCGATTTCGCTTCTAATCTTAGTGCTTATGTGTTGCTTACAGTTGGATATTTGAAAAGCTGTATCGTTTACAAGTAATGCATCTTCCGCTGAATTTAATTCGCATACCCAATTTCCTCTTGTGTTATATGTTAAACTTCGAATTTTATTCGGTCCAACTATTTGCGTTATTTTCAGATAGAGTTCTTCGGCTCTCTTGTCAATATATTTGCGATTGAATGTTTCAGAAGGATCCATGTAAACATTTAAGTCGATGACGCATTCGATTCGGTTACATTTTTTCGAAGCTATTCCAGCGTAACTTGCCATCTTCAGAACTTTAACAATAGTTCTCCCAAAATAGAAATAAACAAAAACTCGCCAATCAGATTACCTTATTACACAGGGACTAAAAAGTTTCAGTATGTGTTTTTTTCCGTAGTGTGCTCGTTCTTCAAACGAGGGCCTTGTTCAACTGCCCATTTTTATAATTGTGGCTCTAAAATTTTGAACGCAACTTCTCTAGCACAACACCCTCAGGGTCTCTCATTGCAGACGCGACAGAACGAATTGAAACTCTTTGATCGAGTTGGATATTAGTCCTATATTATTAGTGACTTAGTGACTTGGTGAACGCCAGTGAACAGCTCATTTGAGTGTTTATAAGCGTTGCAAACGCTAGAGCTTTCGCCTACGACCATACCACGGTGAACACACCCGTTCTCGTCCGATCACGGAAGTTAAGCACCGTCGGGCCAGGGTAGTACTTGGATGGGGGACCGCCTGGGAACTCCTGGTGCCGTAGGCTTTTTTCACTTTTCGCACCTTTCAATACTTAAATACATTTTTGCTCCATGTTCATTAATGACTTCTATCAATAGTGCTAAGCTTTTTTTCAGTGTGCAAATATTCCATTATACATATTCCATTATAACGGCAATCAATCAATCAAGTGAACCACGCATTCAACAAAATCTCTAAACTCTCTTCCCCAAACAACGCAATCAATTGCTAATTGAAAAAAATCAATATTGAATCTATATCTATCTACATCTATAGGCACGCAAGTGTCAGCATCGAAGAAGTACTTGCAAAACAAACTATATTCTACAACATACCTCACTAACATGCTACAAACGCTAAACCCTCAAGCCAACTCCGACTCATTCAAGTTTAGAAAGTCTTTAATGTCTTGAATATGTTTAAAATCTCCAACATCATTGTTAATATACGTTTAAGACGCTAGAATATTCTTTGCTATCAAGTACTTTGTAACTGAGGTGCACAATATATTTTACAAGTAGGAATTGCAATAGACTAAAGAAAACAAAAACTTCTTACTTTTAGTCTTGTGTTTATGCAAAAAAACGACTAGTTCTCATTGCTTCATTTGAACTACAAACAGCAGCAGTTTCCCTCGTTTAGTAATGAAATCAACAACTAAGTGAATCTAATTTATTAGATAAAATCCTTAATTACACTATTTGTCAAACATTAAAAAATACACGCATCATTTGCATACAAATTGCAACATTCAAAATAACGTGTAAACTAAAAAAATTAAACTGTTACAAAAATACATGTAAGACTCTGTTGAAAACTCAAAAAATCAGAAAAAAAAGACATCAATCTGCAAACTTGTCGAACTGTCATAGAGACGAGAGCTAGAACAGAGAGGAAAGTTGTTTTCATTTGCATATTAGATTACCCACTCCCGAAACCCCGAAAATTCGAAAATTTGCGTCAAAATTTATTGATGCCTACCTTTTTTTTTTTTTTTTTTTTTTTTTTTTTTTTTTTTTTTTTAACACATATACATATATTTCATGAAAACAATTTACAATTTTTGGGGTTTACAATAAGTATAATTTTTCCGTAATATATTTACAATGTTTCAAGTTGAAGATACCGTAATATAATAAAGGATTACGTGAAAGTTACAATATAGTGTGTTTTACAAGTCTTTGGGTGTTTTTCCGTTATAAATACAAGTTTTGGTTTTGCCTTGAATAAATATACAATATATCGTTTTAAAATTAAGAGTAGAGTATGTTAATCTCTATACACATATTCAAAATAGCTTTACAGTGTCTTTTAAGAAAAGGTTTACATTTTTTTTTTTTTTTTTTTTTTTTTTTATTTAGGGGGGAGTTTAAAAGATTAATCACTTCTACATTCTTTCCTCTTTTTTTAAAGAAACAGAATAAAAAAGCCGTGTTTAAAATAAATAATCGTGGCGATTAACCCACGACCTTAAATTATAAACACACAACCTTCGCTGTCTCTGGACAGCTAGGGTCATGCAACCGTTCGTTTTTAACTCTGGTTGAAGATCCATATGTTTTTTTTTGTTCGGTGTTAGTTTAATCAAGACCTACAATTCACCACACTTAAATGGTGAATGTTAAGTCTTGATTATTGCTTTTGCTTATTGCATTATTTATAGAGAACATTTTGTGAAATTTTTCGATATTATTTTCTCTAGCGTGTTTATTATATTGTATTTTCCAGATGTATTTTATTTCTTTTAGTATGTTTTCAGTGATTCTAGCTGCAGGTATATTTTGGTTTTCTTTTAGTTTTGAGTTCCTACATTTCCATAGCTCATTCGTTGTAATGTGGGTTATGGTACTAATAATTTTTGCAGTAGAATCTTTTTTCGGGAGGTCCTCTATATTTATGAAGAAGAGGGCCTGTACCGAGTTAAATGGTTTTAGGGGTAATAATTTTTCATAGATATTTCTAATATTTTTCCACACAGCTCTCGCTTTGCTGCAGAATATAAAGGGGTGGAGGGTGTCCTCTTCCCGGTTGCAGGTTTTGCATTTAGAGTTTCCGTGAAACTGGCCACGTTTAATTTTCCAAGAGTTTATTTTTTCAAGGGTAGGGAGGGAATTTGTAAGAATTCGCCAGTGCGTATTCTTACTTGTTCCATGAGCATGGGAGTCAAAACTCCTCTCCCAGATTTTATTCCATGGGAGGTTCTTCTGGAACTTTGCTTCCCATTTCAGTTCAATCATTTTTTGATTTAAATTTTCTTTTTGATGAGATATATGGACGTAAATATTTTTTGTTGTTTTTTGAGGGATATTGAAGATTTCATTATTATTTTTAATTTTTTCGACTACATCTTTATAAAAGAAAGGTAGTTGGTTAAGGGATTTTGGGCTGTTGTTTCCGGTTAGGAAAAGCCACTGCGGGTATTTAGTTTTTGCTAAGTTGTTTAGAGAATAGGAAAGGAAATATTTTTGCAGGTAGTAGCCATGATGGCATTTGTCTACTTCTTTCATTAGGATTAAATGTTTCATTCTGATGGCAAAACATTGGTTTTGCGCATCAAGAATGCCCAGCCCCCATTTGTTAACAGGTAACTTTAAGATGTCTCTTTTTATGGGTTCCGCATATATGCTCTGCCAGAGGTAGGTTGAGATTCCCTTGTCTATTTTCTTGATATCAAGTTTAGAGATAGGGAATGCGTTTGCCACATACCATACCTTTGACAGGGCGAGGGTGTTTATAAAAATTCCTTTGCATTTTAATGACAGTTTTCGATATTTAAAATTTTGAATTTTTTTTTCAAATTTTCCAATAGCCATATGCCAATTTATTCTGCTTGTATAAGCAAGATCTGTATGGAAAGTAATTCCTAACATTTTAATTCCTGTTTGGTTTGACCAATTTATATTGTAATTTTTTTGTTTTAGGGTTTTTATGGTGTTCTCATACCCAAGGTAGTTAAAACCTCCTAGGGCAAGGGCTTTAGTTTTATTTACATTAATATTTGCACCTGAGGCTTGTCTAAAGTCATCAAGTATATTGAAGACTTCTTTTATGGAATTAGCGCTTCTTACGAACAAATTGGTGTCGTCTGCATATTGCATTATTTTTAGGTTTGTTTTTGTACCAGGCAGGGGAACGCCGTCTATGAACTTGTTAGCTTGAAATTCAAGGGCGAGCGTTTCTACTGCCAGGCAGTACAGCATGAGGGATATTGGGTCTCCCTGACGCACACCTCTCTCTATTTTGAATGGTTTGCTCATATAGCCGTTGTTAATGATAATTGATTGAGTATTGTTCATAGTTTGTTTTATCGCGTTTATAAAATTTGTTCCTAAATTAAATTTTTGGAGGATTTTAAATAGAAAGTTTCGGTCTATTTTATCGAAAGCTTTTTCCTGGTCAATGCTGATCAGACAGCTTTCGATATTTTTTTCGTTTGTATAATGGATTATGTCTCTTGTAAGAAGTATATTTGAGAAAATGTTTCGTCCTGGTACCGAGCACGTTTGAGCCGGCCCTAGTAACTTATTAAGTATTTTAGAGAGTCTCATAGCAAGCGCTTTAGTGACTATTTTATAATCGCTGCAGAGCAAAGAAATTGGTCGCCAATTTTGTATTAAAGTACGGTCTCCGTCTTTTGGTAAAAGACAAATGAGGGCCGTCTTCTGCGTCCAGCTTAATTCACTATTTTGTTTAAATATGTTTTCATTAAAGAGGGCGGTAAGCTCTTCGCCGTAAATGTCCCAATACTCTTGGTAGAATTCGATTGGGATGCCGTCAATTCCTGGGGTCTTGCCCTTGCTTAAGGATTTTGCGGCATTGTATAGCTCTTCATTGCTAAATTTTATGTTTAAAAAGGCGTTTTGATCGTCGCTTAAGACATTTTCAATTTTTTCAATAAATTTGTTTTGTGTTTCGTGGTTTAAGTGTTCTTTTTTATATAAATTTTTGTAAAAATTTCTTATTAACTTAAGAATGTTTTTTGTTTCGTTTTGGAGGCCGTTTCCATCACGGATAGTTTTAATGACTTTTTTCTTTTGATTATCTCGTTCCATTTGGAAAAGGGCTTTTGTGGGTTTTTCGCCCTCTTCATACAAAATTTGCCTAGTTCTTACAAAGACTCCTTTCCCGTGAAGGAGGGTCTTTTTTTCTTTTTGGAGTTGTTTAATTTTTTCATTATCTCTGTTGATTTTATTTTTTTCAAGTTGTATTTCTATTTCTAAAAGGGTTTCTTGTTCTTTTCTTTCCGCTTTTATAATTTTGGATGTTTCCATGGAAACATCTCTTATGCGGGTTTTAATTATATCCCACCATTGATTAATATTTTTATATTTAGATTTTTTTGTTTTTTGTTTTTCAAAATCTTTTTGTAGTTTATCTCTGAAATTTTTTTCACCTATTATATTGGTGTTCATATGCCAGTATCCTGGTCCTCTTTCGTTAAATTTTCCGTATTCTATTTCGCAAAGTACTGCGTTATGGTCACTTAAGGTATTTTTCATAAGTGAGCATTTGCAGTCTTTTATTAATGCGTTTGAGACGTATATGCGGTCTATTCGACTCCTAAAAGATTTATCCTCCTTTTCATATGTAAAAGTCATTTTTTGCGTAAATA